TCTCCTCCTCAGATCTCTGATCTCCTGCTCTATTTTCTCCTGAAGCTCTTTGACTCTGTTCTGTTCAGATTTTTGTTTGGATCTGATCTTCTGCTTCCCTTCAGAGCTTTTTTTCTCAATGAGACTGATCAAATCTTTGAAAGCCTTATCACATTCTCTGAAAGCTTTATCAGCAGAAAGATTGATAGCCTCCCCTCTTCGATGAAGCATCTTCACATCTTTCTCTCTTTCCTGAATTCTTTGAAGAAATTTTTGTCGATTTCTTCCAAGCCTTTTCTGCTTCTCAGCTCTTTCTGCTGCAGGTGACACTGTGACGTGGTCTTTGTGTTCATCCATTAAGCAGAGACAACAGACACACTGCTGATCAGTGCGGCAGAAGATCTTCATCTCCTCATCGTGGCGAGGGCAGATGTTCTCCTGAAGCTTTGAAGTGGCTTTGATGATCTTGTGTCTCTTTATTGGAGCTACGTTGTAGTGAGGCTGCAGGTGATGCTCACAGTAAAAGGCCATACACACCAGGCAGGACTTGGAGGCTTTCCGCTTCCTCCCAGAACAGGCCACATCTCCAGGTCCAGCATAGGCATGATCAGGTGAAGCTGTCAGATGTTCTGCTTTCTTTAGGTCCTCCAGTAACTCAGCTAACATGGTGTTCTTCACCAGAACAGGCTGCGGTGTGAAAATCTCTCTGCACTGAGGGCAGCTGTGTGTTTCCTTCTCATCCCAGTAGTTTTTGATACAGTCCATGCAGTAGCTGTGCCCACAGGGAATAGTGACTGGAAGCTTTAAAAGTTGCAGACAGATGGAACAGCTCAATTTTTCTTGATCCAGCTGAATCGTTCGCTGTGCCATGTCTCCTCACTGTAAATAACGTCTCCCCAGATAAAAGCTGCTCTTGTCTCTTTTATATAGAGACACAGAGTGTGGAAATTTCCTGTTTTTCCACTTATCACATGACTGTGATAACAGAGGGTGTGCCTAACGTCTGAGGTAAACAGTCTGTAAACAGAGAGGGGCTTAGAAAGGTGTGCTTCATTCCAGGAGAGGGAGTCATCAGATTTGTGTGAAACTGAAAAGTTTCATGTTTTTGATTAAGATGTATTTGTATGTGTTTCAAGTCTTTGTGAAATACCTACAGACTGGTTGGTAGGTTGAAGCCCATTGGTTTTCCTTACTTATTTGCAATGTATATTATGGGGTTATTTCATGTTTTATTGTTCTATTACTGAAAATGATGAATTCAATTAGTATTGTCTGTATTTTCTATCTTTTAATCTGACTTTTGTATTCTGATTTAAACAAGAAAACAAGCCTCTACAGCTGTTGATGGACTAATTTAGAGGATAATTTTCACTCTAAGGTTTTAATTGGGTTTTTTTTAAGAATTCAATTTGCTCAGAATAATAAAGAATAATAAAGGACCTTTAAATATATTTTTATTTTGTCTTGAGCTCATTTTGCCACACACACCGCATATGAATAATGGCAGTCACTTAGTTTTTACAGTAGTTTTTAATACAGCTCATGCAGTAGATGTACCCATAGGGAATAGTGACTGGCTCCTTTACAAGTTGCAGACAGATGAAACAGCTCAGTTTTTCTTGATGCAGCTGAATTACTTGCTGCGCCTTTTCTCCTCATTCAAATGGTCTCTCTTTTCGTTTCCAGATAAAAGCTGTTTTCGTCTCTTAATGCCGAGACACTGAACTGAAGCATATGGAAATTTTCTGTTTTGCATCTTATCACATGACTCTGTCAAAGAAGAGGGTACGCGTAAACAGTGCAGGAAGGAGCTTCCATCCAGGTACTCAGATTGGTGTGAAACTGAAAGTGTTTCGGATGAAAACCGAATTGTAATTGAATGTTTACACTGGAAACTGTTACTCACTGTTTATCTACCCGCTGTTGCCAAGTGCTTATTTATAGTGAGTGAAGCAAATACAAATAAAACTGAATTTAACTGAACCTGAAGTCATCATGGGCATGAATTTGGACCTTAAAGAGTTCAGTAACTTTTCAACTTCAAACTTTTCATTCATTAGTTAAATCCTGGCAACACATGTCACTTTTTTTTTTTTTAAATTTTCAATCTGTGTTCAGATCACACCACAAAACTGAAACTGCTCTCATCAAAAACACAAACTACCTCCTCACTGCTGCAGATTCTGGTCATATAAGTATCCTCACTCTCCTGGGTTTATTACATTGTACTTAACTTATTTATAGGGCGATCGTCACTCAAGAGTTGGCAGTTCGTCTTGTAATCAGAAGGTTGCTGGTTCCAGCCCCGGCTCTGACAATCTCGGTCGTTGTGTTCTTGGGCAAGACACTTCACGTACCACCTACTGGTGATGGTCTGAGGGGCCGATGGCGCGATATGGCAGCCTCGCTTCTGTCCGTCTGCCCCCTGTAGCTGCCTCCACCAGTGTGTGAATGCGAGAATGAATGAATAGCGGAGTGCTAAAGAGTGAATCGGACACACCAGTGTCATCCCTGATATCTCCACTACATTTAATCGTCCTTCAGCTTGTGGCTGCCGTTAGCTG